CTAGACAAAGGGTATGGGGGAGTGCTTGATAATATTTTATCCAGTTATGAGGCCCTGCATCAACCTCTAAAGGGACTCCGTAGTGTTCCGTGTCACAGACTACGGTTCTTCTTTGACGCAGCTTTGTTTAGGCATTTTTAGGAATATTTCCGTTGCAAACTCGGCTGGAAGAATTGAGTCAGTATTATACTAATCCTCGAAGAAACCATGATAAAGTCTTTTCATCATCATGTATACATACAGACGCAGAACGCATGAAAATGGCAAAGAACGATTCAGATGAGTGGAAGATCCAGATGGACTGTACAGTCGATATAAGGAAATTGGGAAATCATGTGATCTAATAAAAACATAAAACATGGCAAAACTAGTCAAACCGGAACACCATCGTGTATGACGCTGAAGAAGGTTGGATCGGATCAGGATGGCACCCCGATTAAGCTATTTGCAGAGAGTTGTTTACCCATGCTCGCAAAGGCCATTTAGATTCTTCCCGATGCGCAGTACTTAGACGAGGTGCGGTACTGCAGACAGACTGAAGCTTTTCGTCCAGGTGTGCATGGCGTGCATGTTGTAACTTCGGTAAGCGAGATGTCTGATCGCAGCTGGGGTGCCGCCAATCATCTTTGCAGTGGATGGCTTGATTCTTTTAGCACCTCTGCAAGGCATCGGGTGGCGCAAAGGTGACTCATCTACCAAAAATGTGGCGACGTGGTTTCATGACAAGCCTGCTGTCAGAATTGAATATTTGAGGCAACATCGGAGTGTCTTGCAGTCACTCGCTATCAACGTCCCAAGAAATATTCAGCAGCATAGGTTATGGTTAGAGCGACATGGTGCAACCGGCTGAAGACTGCTAGGAAATAGGACGCAGAATCTGGTCACCAAGCTTTACTTACAGGCACAACGTAAGTGCAAATGGTAACAACTGCCTACACGAGAGATCATAGTCTTCATATTTATATAATAATGTTCCCGTTCTAACGCTGACTCATTCCTGCAGGTCCTCTGTTCATCCTCCGCGACTAATCCGCGTTGACCTGCTGACTGTACTGCCGGTACAAAGCACGTCTTGTCTTATGACGTGCGGAGGGTGAGCGCTCTTTCTTCTATTCGACTCACTCTATTTTTTGTGGGAGGCGAGAGCTTGGCCTTTTGTTCGCTTCACGTCTAAGGTACAGTGCGGGGATCCGCGTCCAATTGCCTCCGCTTTGTTACAGTCAGTCGTCTCTGACCGTTGCAATAGGTTGTCCGAAATAATCAGCGAAATTTCATAGTGGCTCCCACCTGCATAACTTCCAGGCATATTTCGAAAAGTTTTTTGTTTTTGAGGTGGTCCAGGTCATTTGGTTTGCCAAGAACAAGCTGCTATTGATTTTTTGACTCAAGCGTCGGTAAATCCATCAGCAGACAAGGCGTCTCTTCTATTCCAGTAAACGTCTCGAGCATAAGTTATTGGCGCTGTACACAGATTAAATTATTTTGCTGACCAACTGACTGACTGACCGATTTCAACGCGGTTATCATAAAAGTAACGAACGACATGAAGGTGTTTATCAGCAAATACGGTAGACGAAAGAAATGAACCGGATACCGCATTGCAACTTGCGCTGATAACAACCACTTCCATCTGATGAACAGCGCTTTCCATAAAGCTTCAAAGCGACAGTGGACATGGAGAAGTCCACATGTAAAATCTCTGAACAAAATCTACTATGCACTGATGAACAAGAATAAAATAAACATAAAAAATAATATCGGACCTGTCGGCCATAGGCGAGAACATGATCTGCACAGAGCTTACGATCGATTTCGCAACAAAAAAATTAATGCATCAAAAGACTTCAAAGACTATCGTTTTATTCGATCCGGAGACTTTCGCTTAGGAACTGCCATTAATCAACCTTGAAATGAACAGTAGCAAGGGGACAGATGTGGATTATGATCTTTTCGATCAATGCCATCAAGATTGCCGTCGAAACATCAAGCCAGATAACAACGTAAACTAGAAACCAGCGCATCAACTTTTCAACGAGATTGCTAATGGCTAGAAGTGCCCAATCGAAGGCCGAACGGAAAGTTGACAACGCGTACACCGCATTGAGCAAAGAGGTACGGAAGACGTTGAGAGCAAACTATGTAAATGACAGGAGATTTAGATCAAAAGAGGCTACCGGACTGAAATAAACCTGCCAGCGGTTGAATGAAATCGTTTGAATGAAGGAAAAGGAAATTAGCCACTGTTGGAATATTTCAATCCTTCAATTTCATGACTGGGATTTTTTGCGCTCTTCATTTCATGAAGTTGATGGTGTAGTGCTGATCTCCGTTTTTATGCCATTAGCCAAGAGTCCTCATTTTGAAAGGCAGAGTCTACAGCCACGTGGCAAGGGTTGCCTGTAGTCTCACCTTTCCTTCCCACAGGGTGGTACTCATTCATCGGAAATAAGAAGTATGAATGCGCAGGGGCCAAGTCCATTTATTTAGGTTGTCATGAAGTATGAAGTTTTGCCACCCGCTTGCAAGGCTGACGCGAGCGCGCGCGTGGGGAATTTCGTGTACAGGGATCCCCAAATTCCGTCCGGTATTTCAATCGAAGTTTTTCCCTCTGGCCTTTGACGAAAGGGCGTATAAACGCAAGGCAGCTGCGACATTGGCGCCTTTTTTCTTCAAATGAATGGAACAATTTTGCCTTCACGTAAGATTGTCATTGGACACTGATTTTTTCTCTTACGATAAGAACTTGTGGAGCTCAAACCAGGTTACGAAGGAAACGAGATATTCGCCTAAAACAACAATTCCGCGTTCCTGAAAGATTAAGGAAGAGCAAGAGCTATGGCTTATATCGTTGCAATAGGTTGCGATCTGCACAAAGGTGTACCACAACTTGTACGGTTCCAATTTGGAAGTTGCTACACATAACTACGTAGCCCCAGAACTGTTCCAAAGGTTACTTGGGGCGAAATTGAGTGGACAACAAGAATCATTAAAAATGGCAGATGTGCAGGCAAACACGGTACAATACCGAAGCGCTAAAGCTAGAATAACACCTTTGTTTAAGGCTGTCGCAAAGCGTTTTATGGAATATGTTAAATAAAACAAAGCACCCAAAGAATGGAAGATATCAAGAACAATTTTTCTCATAAAGAAAATTGATCCTGAAGACCTTAGGAACCATCGGTTAATTATACTACTGTCGCAATTCTATGAAGTCTTTACTCGCATAATTATCAACTGCATTCGGAAGGACCTCGAACTTGCAACAAATCGGGAATAGGCCGGTTTTCAGATACTTTTTCACCATCGACCATATGCATGTCTACGTTAGATGGTGGAGAAGCGCAACAAATATCTAGCATCTGCCTATTCTGCTTTCTTCCGCCACAAGAAGTCGTTGTATTCGGTGGAAATGATTTCTGTGCTAAGGGGTTTGCATGAACATGGAATAAACTCAGTTTGTATCAGCCTGATTGTAAAATTTAACACCGATTGCGACTAACATAGAGCTGTTCAGCAAACTACGTCGCATCAGTATCCATTGAGAGGTGTGCCAAGCAGATGTCATCTTACTGACGTTCTTCGTTGCCGCCTTGCATTCAATTTTCAGTCGATTAAACTGGTTCTAAAGAATCAATATTGATGAAGAGCAGCTAACGCACTTGTTATTTGCGGAATCTGTCACGTCATATCACAAGATGGAGCTCTTAAAGAAGATCCTGCAGTAGCAAGCAGAATCTCTCACGATCTGTTTGAAGGTTAACCTCTCCAAGAGGAAATGGATACGAAACGAGCACCGCACTCAGGGCTCTGTCTACATAAATGTAGAAAAATTCGAAAAGTCACCGGCTATTCCTTGGCCGTCCGATGAACCGTACAAACTTTGCTAGACTTGTAAGTCGGCCGAAGAAGGAAGGTAACATAGGCCAGCTTCATTCGCATTAAAACATCATTGCTTGATAGTGAACATGAGGACAATGACAGGACTGTTCGATTCAATTGTTCCACCCGCCATGAACTACGGCGCTGAATGTTTGTCTGCTATTAACATCGAGGAGAACAAACCATGGTCAGACAAAGAGCGATTGAGGGAAAAGTATGCAGGGAATCCCTTAGAGATCACGTTCCGAGAGCACAAATACGATAACAGACTGTATTAACTGACGTGATTCCTTCCTTCTACAAAGAAATGGGAACATGGACCGATCATATGGCCTGCCTAAAAGACAATCACTGGACATCATGCATTTCAAATTGGATTCCGCTAGACCACCAGCGTCGACGCGGTGCTCAAAGAGCACTTCTAGATGATCTGATGGTCAAACTAATTGGTAAGAGGTGAAGACGGAAAGGAGAAAAGATAGAATGTTGGAAAAGCGTCGACTTTCGTTCATAGTGCACCCATGACGAGGACAGCACGATTGTAACAATGATTCAAAAATATGCTACTTCTTCCTTAATCAAAACTACTTCACTAAACATCACAATCACCTGTCGCTTCTCTTAATTTGCACGGCCTAGCATACCGCCCACTTGCTTTTAGTAGCCTAAAACTCTCCATGGCCTGCTTATATGGTCCCCTCGGCTACTGGAAACAAGGAGACGGTGCGTTACGTGGTGGAAATCTGGAGGAGCGACAGGAGATTGACATGTTTAGTGAGGTGGTTTTAATTAAGGAAAAAGGGAAAAAGCAGCATATTTTAAATCATTGCTACAATCAAACTGTTCACGAAAAGACAAGAAACAAAGTGAGGATATGAAGGTCAATAAATATTTAAACTTCAGCGCACGTTGTCATTTAAACCATAGAAGATCTGAAGTTACTGCTTTAACAGAGCTCTGTGGTAATGAGCTTCTTAAAGAAGAAATAAAACATTAAATTAAGATTATCTTAAAACAATAACTGTACAGTTTAATTCGTTAACAATAGTATAAACCCTTGAATACCCCCCGCGTATTTTAAAATGAATTGTAACATCAATAATGTAAAAAATAATGCTTCAAATAATGAATTGTGCGTAGCTCTCCATTCAGAAGTGTAATTGGTGACACTGGTAATGACATTGGTTTCTTAACACAAAATATAATATGAGCGTTGTATGTAAAAGTTCTAATAAACTTAATTACTTTACTTTATTAAGTAACTCTGAGACTAATAATTCTCTTGGCTAGATTTACAAATTGCCATATGCCTGTGGAAAATATTACACAGGAGAAAGAAAGAACACCGTCAGTCAAAGAACAGGAGCAACCTATCCTGGAGAAAATGCATAATCGCGGACAAGCGTGAACGACGTGAAGTATTCGGGAAGGAACAAAGCGTCGCCTCCAGTCAAGTCAAGGAACAACGTGAAAATACCTCCGGCATCACGCTGCTCGCGGCGCAAGATAGACACGACCCTGACAGAGAGAGTACACAAGCATCATCGAAAAGCGACACTGCCTGAACAGGCGCGTGAAGGAGGCATTAATGAGCCAGTCTTGCGACAGCGTCAACCGTGACAATGCATGCGAACTCTGCGCGGATTGGATGAGACTTGTTTCCCCTCTGGCGAGAAAACTACGTAGCCGGAATCATGGACCTAAAGCTCGCTTTCTAGCTCTGAACATTAGAACCGATGGCAAGAAAGATCCAGCTTTTTAAACTTGAAGAAAGCTCATGAAACTCGGGCCGAAACGTCGTTATTGGTCAATCATCCAAATATTCTAATTGTTTTGAGTGTATATAAATAAAAAATGCTGTTTCAATATTACCATCAATGCAGGCAAGAAATTCTCAATCTTCTGATGCGCTGCCACTCTTATTATATTCCTTAGGCTTTGCAGTCATCCACCGAATATAAAAGATACTCAGTATGCTTAACATCCACATTATAAATGCTAAATGCTGACAATGAGCAAGGCAAAAATGCGAGGTGTTATTATTATTCAAAAGAATGACGTCATCAATGTACAAACCTAGGTAAGGTCATTTCGCCGGATATTTTTATATATTCACTATCCGGAAGAATTAGAGGACGTTATTTTTCTCTTTTCTTGATATTCTTTATGAGAACTGTTTAAAATCAACATCGTGGTAGTAGTGATCTGTAGTAATCCGAAAAATAAGAACAAATCATTCGTTCTTCTTGACCATGCGTCATTATTTTACGTTCAATGGATAGACAGCATAGTGAAAA